ATAGGACGAACATTGTCAAAACAGTCCCTTCAAGCTATAAATTCAAAGAAAGGATGTATGACGTTTGGGGGTAATTTATACATTAGTCGGTTAATGATTTCAATCGATAACCACAATTCAGAGAGATTTTGACACCGTGTTTCTTCAATAGAAATTTCCCTGAATTTCAATTGTACGCCATTAGCATGTCCGCTTGACAGAAATTCTCTTGCCTTAAAAACCTTTTGTCTATTTCTATAATTGGAGACCGAAAAACGGCGCCAATTCTCGCGCCGATGTTTTGACTGGATTGATCGTCATTTTGTTTTTATTTGGTTATCACTCCAGGAAAGCAAGATATAATTGTTTCAGTTCGTCTCACCATAGATTCAATGCATTATATACTTTCTCATCTAATCTTTATTAAAACATAAGCTAAGTCATCAATATGTATTTCCGAGCTCATTAAAATAAAAGAATAACACTTAAATACGTTGGACTTTGACAATTTCGCCCACGTCAATCGGAGAAACCATTGTGTGAAAAGAATAGACACTTCACGCGGCCAGTAATTGACATGTACCACAAAAAAATCACATATAATCTCTCAGTTAGTATGATTCTTCCTCTCAGAGCAGAAAAAAAATCGCACAATTTTTTTCATATTTCCGTTTCATTTAGATTCATGTGTGCATGTCTATTGAACATCCGTAACGCTTTTTTAATATTTCATCTGTGCCACTTCTATGCAAATAGAATAATTAAAAATCTATTCCTCCATCTTTTCTCGGGTTTTTATTATCCCTCGCTTGCAGGTGGTCACTAAATCATTTTTGACAGTGTCAACGATGGTGTCAAGTCTGTGTTTATGTTTGGTCATTAACATATTTAAAGCAGCACGTGAAAAGGAGGACGAAATACTTGAGAGCTACTCCAGAGTTACCAAAGCGCTTAATGCTGCCATTAATTTCTCAGTTTAAAGCCAGCTGTCAATCATGGGTTGTGATTTCTGGACAAAGTTGCCCTATGCAGGTGTGAAGCAGCCAAAGACAATATACGGCGATATAAATCATTGAAAACTTTCAGCGACCATGTCAACATATTCATTAGTTTTTATTTCACGTCTTGAACGTCATCTTCATCCTCATATTGTCAAGCCTCCGTGGAGCGTGTCGCCAGAGAGCTGTCAACCGCAATGTGGCATACAGTGACAGCAAGCATTGTGTCAGGGGACGCAGGGTCACAACACTAACACTGAAGGGATCATAAAACTGAAATAACAATTTGTCTTTTTCAATGCCATTAAATTCAGATTCAGTATTCAGATGCATTTCACTTCCTGTGAGAGTGCAACTGTTTCCATCAATTTTGTTGATTCCAACCTCTCAAGAAATGTTGTGAAATCTCCTTATACAGTTGATATATCCTCTGTTAGCAATAAACGCCAATTTATACTTAAGTTTTTTTCAATATAGAAAAAATGTCCGCTATGTATTAACAAATCATACACGATGCGTACAGAGTAGAAATTGTATTAAAAGACTGATTTTTTTCTGATGAAATTCTCTCTATTATGCAATAATAGAAAAACGATGCGCTGTTGTTCTGTGCTCCTTGCTTTGTCTGAGATGTCACCAATAAAGTTGTCATAAGACGCAGATGAATTACATTTTATCTACGGCAGACTAACACGTGAGAACGCATGGAAATGTTCGCCAAAATGCGTAGTATAGAGGTAGATGCAAGGAGCTACCAACAATGCATTGTTTTTAGTGTAACCTTTTAAATTCACAGCGATTTATACGAGAATCTGAAGCGGCTACCGTTTCAATAAGTTGCTTGGAAAATTCATAATTTCCACATCATATATTTTCATCGACCTTTCTCTGACAGGTGCGTCCGGAAGGTAAAAAGTCATAATCAACCATTTGTTTGATTTCTCAATAAAGTCATTCGAGCGGGTTTAATCATTTCGCCAGTTTCTCTTTCTTTCCACTTAAATCACCATTTGCAGAAAAGTCATTTACTCAAAGTAAGCACAGTGAACACTCAATAAAGTTAAGAAACCCTCCAAGCCCAAAGTTGAAAATTAACGACTAAATCGGAAGCGTGTATATTGAATCGTATCGCGACTCTGCTAGGAGCATTTATACTATATTGGAATGATAATAGAACCATTTGTTTCTCTACTTTTAAGGGTGCTTCAGAGTGCGATATATTCACACGCTTAATCAAAAACAATTATCTGTTTTCATTAATAAAATACATATTGATTCTTTCGCGGAATAACCAGCGCCAATTAAACACATTAAACACATTGCTATATTTCAGTCTAAGTGGAGATCCAATATCTAATCTATTGGTCCTTTTAGACATAATTTTCGTTAAGCACGTGTTGTCAGTTTGTCACTTTGACACATGAAAGAAACTCATTTTTAACGTATAATTAAGCGAAGTTTGATAATCATTTACAAGGGCTTGAAAAGAAAAAAAAAACGACAACGTCATAAGGTATTTGAAATGAAAAGATCTTCGCCTTGGCTTACTCACGTCATTTTCAGATTCATCTCAAACAAATTTATGAGTAACTTCCGTCCCAGACCGACGTTCGATAAGACACATTGACTGTGGAAACTAGGGTCAATAAAAAACAGCAAACCAATGTCTTGAATCGAACTGCAAAATAAGTATTAAATGCCTCCCGTTTACCTTCATTTCTTCAACATAAAAAATAGTTACCTTTTAATGGTTAAGGTGCAATAACGTAATATATAAAAAAACAACGCCATTTCCAAGAGATCACGCAGACTTTGCTGCGAGTCTAAATGAATTTTCCACTGAATCGTCACTCAGTGAAACCTCATTATTTTTGTAAAGCAGAATTCTGTGCGGTTTACTTGTGGTAATGGATGGAAAAAAATAAAGAGAAATTTCCTGAGTTGTATGATTGAACAGTGCGAGTGGCGGCGACTTATGATTAAAAATGATTACTTAGGTCAAGCGCCGGAGACGTTTATTCCATTTTAACTTGACGGCGATAAAGCAGCAGTGTCAATGAAATCGCTAGCTTTTATTATGTTATAGGAGCTTCTGATATTCTTCTTCACATTTTTTTGTCTTTGCTTGTATCTCTTCTGTTTTTTAAACGTTCAAAAAATTTATTTGGGAATTTATTGTTGTACCTTTCTACTTTTGCTACAACATAGCGCTGTGTTAGAACAGGGGTATCTTCCACCCAACAATTTTGAATCGCCAGCTTGAGAAGGGGCATGTTAAAAAAGTGCCATATGTGCCACTTCAAGGTGTCGAAATCTATTATGCAAGATACGAATTAGGCTAGATCCAATTTAAGAAGCAAATGTTAGGTATCCTAACCGTGCTCAAGTCTCGGTTATTGATAAACCTCTTCGTCAATACCTCTTTGTTGTTCCAACTCCGAGATCTAGCACTTTCATCGATTTTCAAAACGATAGCACTTCTGCTTATGATTGTTCACAGTATCAGCGGCCCTCATATCAATCTTTTGTCAAAACAAAGGATATTGCGGGTTATGCTGTTTTCTGCGTGAAGTCTAATTGCATTGTGGAAAAGTCGATCCCAACTCTAGACCACTCACTCACCTGAATTCTAATACCTAGACGGTTTCTTTTTTGTGTGTTTTCCTTCACTTTGTAGCCAATATTGATTCTGTGTTTGCGTTTTTACCCCGGGTTTTTATGGAAGTCAGGTTTACTATTGCCTCTTAAACACTGGTTGTAATTAAAATGTATTTGCGTTGTAAAGCAGTTGCCGGTAAAACTTGAAAAATCATGACATTTAGAGCACCAGTCGCCAAACACGCCCTCTTCTAACAGTTGAGACGCTGACAAGGTACATGTACTCCAAATCTGCTGTTATCAGTCTTCCAAAAACAATCGCATTTAAGTAAACAATCATAGCAGGTTTTCCATCGCTATTTTTCGACGAGACTGCTGATTAATTACAACCAGGTAGATCGCCATTCATTAATATATAATACATGAAATAATATTAATTGATATAAATAATGGACAGCTATAACAAATAAAATAAAATGAAGTAAAAAAAAAAGGGTTTGCACGAAATAAAATAATAAACTAGTAATCGTTGTGCATTTTACTCCGACTGCACACGCCAAAGAACAATTGGCATTTGATGCATAAACTCACGTGTAAATCTTTTCGTGAAGTCTTCATTTTACATTTCCCGTGGAAATGGACGCAATATCGCTTAGATGAAAGAATCGCAATTTGTACTCCTTCTGATATTCGATACCAGTAATATCTGATTCCTTCAATATGATCAATTATAGAAAAGCCGGAGACCTCGGTTTTTAATCTTCGAGCGTTTATCTTCCAATTATCGATACGTAAGTGGTGCCCGAAGTCAAGAGTGGGTTAAGGACCGAGGCACATCTCCCTGTCGAAACTTCGACCCCGGGGGATTGGTCTACACTGTGCTCACAAGAATCATCCCAGAATGATACCTCCATTTAAGTGTAAGTGCCGGGGAATGAAAAGCTCTTGAATCAAATGTGCCGTTTCGGAAATGTTCATTGCATTTTACTTTCTGAAAATCTCGAGTTAATCCCGACACAAAGGGCATAATTACCCAACTAGAACTATCCATCAATCAACAGCCTTAATTAAAGCCGCGCCACTAAAAGAGGCAACTGTAATTTTGTTCCTGCACCGGAACCAAGCTCCGAGAACTCTGAAGCGAAAATTCAAAGGATTATTGAAAGCTGTAAGAAATTTGAAGTACGCTCGATCTGCAGCCACTTAAGTAATGTTTGAGGGTTATTGTGATCTGAAAATGCTCTCGAAGGGTGGTGAAGCGTGAAACGCAAGCAGTAGTCAGAACGGGAGGTCGGTTTACTCTGATGATATGAGGAACTTGCAATGACATTGCACAGATTTAAATCAATGATAAATATGAGATTTGAATACAACAGATTTCGATTTTAAAATTCATATGGTAAGCAGCGCTTTGATTACAATATAAAAAAGTTTATTCTGTTCAGCGAATGCTACTTGTGAAATACACACTATGGACTAGCACAAAAATGATGATAAATAATGTGATAAAAGTAACAGCAATCAGACCTTTAGACACAACAGGCTCTGCCTGCAAAAAAAGTCTGCTTTTTACGAGGGATCAACAGCGCTGTCATCAAAGCCGGTAAGCTGTCGCTGCTAGGTTCAGTAATCTCACATTACCCTCCAATCGCATTGTCAGTAATTAATGAGTAACTATCCCTCGATCAATATACCACGTGCTATTCTTATAAAAAACTATTAGCTAATTAAAATAACGTAAACGCTCTTTTCCGACTGAGGTATAAATATACATTTATTTGAAGAAAAAGTAAAATAACATTATCTGTGTTAAAACATCACTTTTATGTAAAATAATTTACGAGACGAAATGCTCAATCAAATGTTTCCTCTGATATATCATTAAGTTAACCTTAATTTAGCTGAGCGCATTGCCGGGAAACTACTGCGCGCACCTTTGCCAATCCGCATCTGAATCGGACAGTTTATGAGGCTTTTATAACTCCTCGGTTCGCTTTGATCTCAGTTTTACCACTTCCCGTTATTTACTGCTTATCAAATTCCCGATATATGGAACGCAACACTCTCGTAAATCTTGGGGATTTCTGAAGAGAGCTTAATAAAGTTCAATCATGGACAAATAAAGATATGCCATGTCCAACGATTAAGGTTCAAACAAAGTTACGTCAGCCCTCTCAAAAATTGTAGCGATATTGGAATGGTTTCATTTTCATAATTGATTTGTGTCTATGTAAGCTGCATATTTACTGCCAGGAAATAGCCAGATCTGCTTCAAAAAAATAATATCTTATGTAATTGCTACGGCAGACTTTTGTTAGAAGAGCTTTCAACAACAGGTCTGCGCATATATCCAAATACATCATATGAGTTGGCAATATTGCGAAAGCTTTAATTTTAAGTATCACAAAATAATATTCAAAAAATGTACATGTACTTTGGACCATCTTATTAGCAAATCTACAATTCTTTTAACAACTCTGCACATAAATATACACACACAACTGACAAATATATCCTCCTTTTTCAATACATATATCTTTTAAAATAAGATAATAAGACTACAATTACTTTATAAAGTTTTGTTAAAAGGCAATACGTACCCAAATACCCTGGCGTTAAAAGTAAATGTGTAAACCCTAATCTAGATGAGTGTTCCGTGAAAGCGCTGTCATCTACATTTTTCTTCATCTAAAGGTTACTTTCTGTTTCCTTGGATGCGGATGTCAACATTTAGATTGTCTCGCAAAACTGAGAGGAGAGATATCGAAGCGAAAAATTGCCTTGAATCGTGCAAATTAAAATCAAAAGGCCGCGAGAAGAGGGACGGATAAAAATTCTCCTACGTGTTGAAAAGCGTTGGGCGTATTAATTAGCCTTCTTATGGAGTAAGTATCCTTTTTTTCTCTTTAAAATAAATAAATAAAAGGATATGTGTATAAAGAAACAAATAAATAAAAAAATATGTTGATACTTTAATTTGATGAATGAAAATATCTGGATGCGATAAATTGAGAATCGTGTTCACCTATGTTTATCTAAAATGATCTTGATCTTTTTCACCAACCCGGCCACCGTGACTGAGGTTGCATGAGAGCAGGGTGACTGTAACTAGGCAAAACGTTCATATTTCCCATATTCATGTTCATATTCATGTTCATGTTCATATTCATACTGCTCATGGGCGAGCTGATAGCACCCATGCCTGTCCCGTACCCGTTCATATTCATGCTCATGCCGCCATAGTTGCTGCCCATACATGAGGAGGACATACTGCCCACGGTGGAGATGGGAGGCATACTGGACATGCCAGAGTTCATACAACTTAAACTTGGCTGCATGGACAGTTCTTGAGATTTCATCAAGCTACTGTGGTTCATGGACGGAGGCTGACAAGGTTTGCCGTCTCGTACCAACACGGGGACAGCCACCCGTCGAGGTGATGGAAGCGGGTTCAGATCCGCCATACCTTTCTCCTGCCGCTGTCTCTTCAGCTTGTAGCGATGGTTTTGGAACCAGATTTTCACTTGCGTCGGCGTCAGGCGAATAATTGATGCTAAATGTTCCCGCTCCGGCGCGGAAAGGTACCTTTGTTGCCTAAAACGCCGTTCTAGTTCATAAGTCTGGGCTTTTGAAAATAACACTCGCCGTTTTCTCTTTTTAGGGGGGTCAGAATTTGACGGTTGCTGAATGTCGCCTTTAGAGTTCGGGTCATTTTCATTATTTTCCCCATCCTTTTTGATGTCTTTTTCGTCTGATTCTTCTTCCTCAATTAAACAGTCTGATGTTTGTGAAGACACGCTTTCAGCGGGAGAATTCGGCATCATGTTGTGCTCTGGGGGTCTGGGCGCGGTCATGGCGGCGAGGCCTGGGAACGTAAAATTTCAATTTTAAAAATAATAATGGAGAAAAAAATTAAAAATGCATAACAGTTACAGATTGGATTATAATTGAGATCTTTTATTATATTATGACTAATTTGCCTAACCCTTGCGATAATTTGAAATCAGTACATATATGTTATACAGTTTTGTGGATGTGGATCCCCATTAATGACGAAAAAACATATCCCTCCTTATACAGCATAGGTAAGAAGCACGTATCAGTTTATTTGTGGAATAAAAATTCAGCAAAATCGGATCAGAAAAAATAAATATCTATGTGTTTATGAAATCACTGCCTACAGCATTCATTGAAACGGGATAAATAAATCGGAATTATTGTAAAATTTGTAATTATTTCAACTACTTCTCAAAAATTATAATAGAGTTACCTATGTAAAGAAAAAATAGTTATCAAACAGCGTAAATATGAATTAATTTTAAATAATTTTACGCAGAAGTTGAAGAATATTCAGAGTGACTGAATAATGTTATTGATTTCAAAATTCGTTTGAAAAAAAATTTTTCATTTAAATGGCCCTGTCCAGTAATTATTGCCATTATTTTCCTTTTCAAGTGGAACTTATGATAAAATATTTCTCACTGCATTATCTTAGAGTGCATTGCTTCAATTAACTCCATTTTAAACTTGTCGTAAAAGTAACGATCAGCGCAGAGGCAATTAATCACAATTAATTGCCGACAATACGATACTGAATAATATTTGTATACACAGACCTACTTCGCACGCCACACACGTGTGGTTCTATAAAATAATGGCAACCCGTGGTCCAAGAATTATCTTTAATGGGTAAATATTAATTTGCAGTGCCATCATAAATTAGTGTGAATGTACTGAAGAATTATCATTTTTTATTAGCTTGTCTTTTCATCAAGAGGAAACACTCTGGTTGACTTCCTATCCAGTATTACCATTTGCGCACCTGCAGTTAAGCCACGTTATTGTCTGACCCGACGTTTTACTAGTGCACAGTTTGATAAATATTAAAGACAGGTGAAGAGAAGACAGCGCACCCAATGCCACGGCCATGATTGTTATATCTATAAACAGAATAAAAAATGGAAGAAATACCTCGCGATTTAATCGATATAATTGTCCCTACAGTTAACTCATGTCACTGTGTTCGGCGTTTACCTGACGTGAAGCCCCTACCTGAGCCGAGCTCTTACGATCTAGGGGTGTCATTTTACTTTTTATTTATATATTTATTTATTTATTTATTTATTTATTTATTTATTTATTTATTTATTATTGTAAATGTCAAAATTGCACGAAAAATAAAATAGTGTTAGAAAAGGCTTATATAGTTGCCTACTTACTGGAATATTCATAGGTCTGATGCCACCTTGTGTACGGATTCTCTGGGTCGAAGTAATGAGGTAGACCACCGTGCTGGGCCCCGTGAACCATCTCCCCAACACCATTAAGGGCGGCCGGGGGGAGACTCTCGCCGTCCGAGCCCCCTCCTCCAGGACTGCAGCTATCTTTGGTCGAGTCGTGTAAATCCAATATGTCCTTCACGGAAAACGCACTGTTCGTCTTCGGTCCATTTATGACTAGATCTGTATCCATCATATTTGCCACTGAAATTGTAGTAGTAAAATATCAAAACCTGAGGACTGATATCACTGCAGTGACGAGGATCTGTATTATATCTACAATATATATCCTGTTTATAGACCAGCATATGATGGGCCCTCTCTATCTGTGCCTCTTGTCACTACTTAGTGCCCTTAATCCCGGGCGTATATAGGGAGTCTAGGCGATGTGTCCTTGATCATAAATTACAGTGGACTTTCGGAAGAAATCCAGGTTTGGACAAGGGCGGAGCTAGCACATAGACCCAGCATATTGTGGCGAGCAGTAAAGTTATCAGGCATTATGCACAGAACACACCTTCAGTCCGCACACAGACGGAAATCCGAAACAGTGACGAAAACTGATTGGTCATAAGTTTGCGACGTCATCGCTTGAGAAGAATAGTGATAAGACTGATAGGCGTGGCGAAGACAAGTAAACAAAAGTAGGCTTTTATAAAGATCAAGTTTTTATAACAGCAAAATAGACAAAATATGAATAAAATTAAGTAAAACCCCAAACGGATTATGTCTTTTTGAACAAGAGCTTTTAAAAAGTGCGACATGCGACTGGTACCGATCGTTAGCTAAATAACAGGGGTTTGTTTTCCCTCGCCTTTCTTTGCTTTAGTGGTTGACTTTTGAATCCAGCTGACAAAGTGGGATTATTAACGTTGTCCTTGATCGATGGCAAGCAGTCTCATACAGTGTCGGCTGTCTCGGGTTTATGGCGTAAAAACTAGGGTTTGGGTTGAGATCGAATGCTTCTGAATTCTAGGCCTCAGTTTATACAGCAGTCGTTTAAACACAACGCAACTATAAACTGATTAGATGAAGTGGCCTCTTTAAATCCCTCTCTCCCATCCTCCACAATCGGAACAGAAGAGCAGGGCACACAAATACTCAAAATTAGGGAAAGCAACTCTCGAACATAAGAACTTATCAACACAGCAGTGATCTAACATTAGGGAAACTTCCCCTTAAGATGGAGATTTTACACCTTATCAAACCCTCAACAGTCAGATAGCATTCTTTTCGACTTGTTCCACTTGAGGGCCAATTCAGGCACAAAAGAACACATACTTGGTCCTCTAGAACTTCTGGAATTGAGTCCTCGAGTTCAGATCTAAACATACAAGGAGGATTAACTACCTTTTAGATTTACTTCATATTATTGTAATGCAGAATCGTTTAACTAGAGAGCTAGATTACAAGCTTTCGCAAACTATAGGTGATGGTTTATAGATATTCAAAAAAGTGTATAATAAGATTTTTTGAAAGCCATCTACATTTTTGTCAAACAACTTATCGTCTAATTGTGTTTGTATGCAGATGATTTTGCCCTTCTTCTCGAAACTTCTGTGGAAAAATAAGACTGAAAAATATTATTGAGGTAAAAGAATGTTTGGATTGGTTCGAATTATTAAATTGCATCATAACTTATATTATTCCATTATAGATAAAAAATTAAGATTGACAAAGGGCTGCCTTGAAGTGTGCAATTTAGATAATCTGAAATATGTTTTTCGTCTAAACCGCCACCAAATATAAACCAATATGTGAATGAGTCATGAATACCAAGTAGTCATGGATATTTATGAATGTGTTGTTAACAAAAAAAGGTTGATAATTAATTCGATAATTAACCTCCCGGAGCACAATTAATAGAAGGATGCATTTAGTAGGATTGATTGTTCTCTACAATGGGTTTGGTAATTAGTATAATAATATGTTGTGACATAGATCACTGCAGTATATTGGGCCCAGGTGTGCTTCATAGCTTTACCCCGTGATCCCAGCTCCATATGGTCAACCATGGCCTGCTTGGCAGCTCAAATAAATTAAGATCCTTACTTTTTGTCTTCGACGTCAGTTACTGGATATAAATTAAATTTGGATTTACGTACACTGTGTTCAGGTTTAAGTATAATGTCGATCGTTAAGGATGCACTTAACGTGCCACATCATGAGCAACAGATCCTATTTAAACCCTAGAAAATCCCAAGAATATAGTTTCTATTGTGCGTGTCTTAATGACAGCGTAGGGGAGGTCGACTTTGACTCGTGCAACAGATAAAGCCAGTGAAACATAATCGCAACAGCTAAATAGTGGTTTTGTCCACGATTACACTACGGGTTTTATTAACGTTAAATCATGCGGCCGCATACACTGTGCTTTAGGAACTGTATCACACCACGGCACATAATTACTATGATTGACTGTAATTAATCTCCTTATGCAAACGATAGATATTTTATTATTAATATTACATAAACATATTTACAATTTATCGATTTGTGTAATGCAATTAGCGTACAACAGAAAAAGTATTTATATACTTAAATATTAACCGTTTCTTTATTATGGTCGTAAAATGAAAATATAAAATTTCCAACTAATGCATCATTTGATTTTGTCATTAATAAATGATGTGATATTTTCAGAGTACATGTAGTTAACGAGAACATCGAAAAATCAGAAGCTGGCAAAATAACACTGTACTGTGTTTGATAATTCGTCCCAGTTTTAAAAGCTTGAAAATGAAATAAAAGCCTTTACGAACTGAAAAACCCTTAAAACCTCAAACGTGACCTTTTAACGTGAAATCCGCAGATATTACATCGGGTTTAGTAGCACATAATGCACTATGTGGAAACCAATAGGAAAAGGCGGAGCGCCTTATTTAATACAGACGTGCGGCTCTGTAGAGAAGAAGACATCACACCTGTGACACCTAGATCCGAATTGTAATGACAATTGTTACCTATCACTTCCCCAGTCACACGGATATTTAGGAAGAGAGGCCCACACACCGAGTGGAGGATTGAAAGGACCTTAATCAAATTTGTCACAAACGAAAAGTAAGCAATCAAAATAAGATGGTGGGCCAACAGTACTACGGCTGACAAAAGGGCTCATGGCGAAGTCGAGGGGACAGGAGTTCTGAGTCAACTTGCTCAAAGCAACCGCTGAAAGGTGGACAAATTGACTCAAGCGACCAAGTCATTTAGAATCAAGTGCCAAGTCAGATTTTCTTTCCTTCTCGGCGGTCCATACAGGCAAGTTTATGTTTGCCTGGAGATCGCTGGGCATATACAAGGAGGAGGCAAAGCTATCAAAACTTTTCATACTGTTATATTCTGCTCTGTTGATGACAAACATTAAGTAGTTAATCCTAATTTCGTATTCAGGAAGCGTCGACCAGGCATGTTCAAGATTAATTTCCTGCAATTCCATGATAAAATATTATATGACCGTGATTTCTGAACGTTTTCCAATTTTTAAATGTTTTATCTTTTTCTTTTTTATGTTTTATCCCTTTGATAAAAAAGGGTTGATTGCAGTGTGTTAAGTACGGATTACAGAAAAGGTGCATGTAGAATGTATGCAGATTAAGATGAATGTCACAGAATGCAACTGATTTATATGTTTTTCAAAATAATTTTGAAATTATCAAAAACACATAAAGTAGATGATTTCTAATAAGCCCCACATGAATTTTTTTCTGCTTTAAAATCAATATTTAATCATCGTGATATTTTATAGATTAAACGTGAATACATTTTATTAAATTAAAATATAGAATGTTGATAAGCTCATTAATTTGCAGACTTCAGTAGATAAAATAAATATTTATTTCAGAATATTTGTATAAGGCTTATTCTCACTCAACGATCCGAAGCATCTGAAGCAAATGAAGTGTTTAAAATGCTGCGATTACACTTCAAAAGGAATGGCTTCTTCAATTTACCTTTGTGGATAAACAGAGCTTAACTCCTGGGTTTAACATAATCTCAAGACGTGAAAAAATTTGGATCTCTCATTTCCAGTGAGCGTATTGATGATTTATATATGATTGTGTGTGTGGAAATATTTATTGAATTATCAAACCGTTTCTATTTCTTAATTTTTCGTCAATAGGTAATGCCTTAATTTATCGTCGCTTTGTGTTTCAAAATTAATTCGCATTTTTTGCAATAGTTCTAGTAATTTTTAAGTTAAGAAAGGGAATCAAAATTAGTTTACAAGACTCCATCTGCTGTTTGGAAACAACCTCTTTTTAGTACTGTGTAAAATAAAGATAGTGGAATTGACAGAATCTGAAACGCAATAAATTATGAAAGGCTGTACGTCGACTAAAGTTGTGGGGCCATTTTAACGGCAGATTGTGAGTTAGATTCATCACGATCATAAAGCTCGGCATATTTGCCAACATATCGGATCGGCTCTAAGACAAAGGCATTACCCGTGATTTAGACCACCATAAAACTTGCGAATGTAAACGTAATAGTTGCTAGGTTCCCGATGTCTGATAAAGGAGAATTTACAGGTGCAATCCAGATATTTGCTGAATCCGAGATTTCCCTATTACCTGTTAGCTCCCGCGGAGCCCTACTAAGAAACGCTGTTCTAACTTTTAAGACACAGCTAGTTGTTTACGCTGGAGAGAGATATTCCTTTCATTCGCCCGCTTTCCAACACTTTAGTTTGAAGTGCTGTAAGTCACTGATACCTCCGTGAGTCAAGATAAGCCCTATGTGTGTTCTTTGCCGCTGCCAGTCGGGCATTTGATTGATAGGGCTCAGATACGAAGGCAGCAACACAAGAATGTAGAGCCGTTGTTATGTGGTCGAGATCACGCTACCAGGGCTTATGTTTGGTGCTTCCAAACGGAGTTTCGTGTAGTTCTGACAACTCCTTAAACATGACCCACGGGGATGACCTAGGGGCTAGAAATGCTTAGTCAGCCCATCTCATGACTATATGGTTTATGATAAACAAATGTTTTATTTTCTACTTAAAGCTGTCTTGAGTAAGCAGTCTGTCCCTGTAGGTGTTGGCGAGTCGTGGGTTGTTGTACATGTGTGTCTGTTCAGGTGTTGTAAAGTTGAGTGTCCTGTTTAAACAACGTCCTATCTCGGTTTTGGTGTAATAAATTTCATATTTGGATACAACAGGGTGATAAAGAGAATATTAGTAATGAAACGATAAGAGATAAGAACAAATATTTTCGATTCCTCAGATGTCATAGCATTGCCATGTGGTTCATTCAGCAAATGACACGTCCATATGTGGTGCTATCTCGACTCTAATCAGGGTTAGGTCACATCAATAACCCCACTGCATTTTCCATTTACCTTTTACCTATATCATTTCTTGCCTGCCCCCCCCCCCCCACACACACACACACACACACACACACAACGATTTAACATTATACATCAACGCGCTGTATGTTGGGTAAAACCGAATATATTGCCACACCAAAACGCTTAGGTCCATGCCGAGGTGACACCGCCTTAACAAGCTCGTGCTCAGTAACAGTGGTATTAATGAGCATTTCGAGTCGAGGAAGTAGTTTTCAATGAGTTGTATCAACATGCTGAAAAGAGGGTCGCTTTTCAGTAAATAAAATGAGTGTTGCAATCTGTTCTTAAAGTAAAAATAAATATTCGCAGTCCGTTTTGAAATTAGTGCTATCAACAGACCATATATACTTGTTCTTGTTTTAAGTCTATGCTGGAAGGAGTCGAAATATTTTAAATACATCTTAACATTTTGATGTTTGATCGAGATGGAATAGTAACTTATTTAGGAGTTTTATATAAATTCACTATACATTTTCCTGCAAATCTCAAGTATTTTAATATTATGAAATACAGAAACCTAACTACCTTGGATTGCTCTCCGTTTTCAAGTAGCACAAAAAGGAAGGCACATTTATTTGCTGTAAACTTAACTGGTACAGCGTTTATACACCTTTTTATTCACAATTTTATACTGCTTCTGTATTTTATTTCGTATCCTATTTCTGATCCCATAATAGTGAGCGAGACTTTAAAATATAAATAAAACAAAATCAATCCTTAGTATAACAACGTTTTTCATCTACCGTATTTTCACTTTCTTTTTTATTATTGTTGTTTGTTGGGAGATAAGAATGCAAAAGAATACTTTTCAAAGAATGCTCTCTCTCTCTCTCTCTCTCTCTCTCTCTCTGAAAAAAAAGGTACGCATTGAATCAATCGTTACTTGAACTTGCGCTTAAAAATTCAGAAAAAAAGTTATTTGCAGATGGCTGAATCTAAAATTTCTCCGTTCCAGTAAGCATTCTCACGGTGTAATTCTTCAAGAATATTACAAAACGTTTTTGGACTTGATTACTCCAGTCACAATCTCAGTTTTGATAGTTGTTTGTAGTGATGAATGTAGTCTATGCGTTACATAATTGTGTGCAGATAAACGTTTTATAACATTCAAATCCTTTTTATATTTCAGAAATAATGAATCGCCACTTTATTAAAAAAGTGGTGTTTATCTAACATATTTCTTTTATTATTATTATTATTTATTATATTTTTAACCATTACAGGCTGTAACAACGGATAGGTAGCAATACAGTCTATGTATAAGTTAACATTTTTGCTCATAAACGACCAAAATTAATAAAGGGAAATTTGAATTGGTACAACTGACAACTGCACCTTACGGGATTAGATTTTAGGAGTAGAAACGAATGCTAAAACACCTTTTCCTTTCTGACATCCTCTTAATACGCTTCTAACGCTCCCCATCCCTATCTCGCCCTCCCGGCAGCTCACCACCCCTCTTTCTCTCTCTCTCTCTCTCTTCTTTATTCCCTTTCTCTTTCTCTTTTTCTTCCTATTTTCTTTCCTTTTAACCTATCTTCTTCTTTTCTTCTCAATCCCCCTATATCTCTCTGTCACTTCATTTTTAATAAGATTTTTTTATTGGAATCGACCGCCTTGTCTCTATTTATTGAGAAAAACATCAAGAATGAGAGGATATTTCAGGTTCTAAAATAGTGGCTTACCTTTTAAACATGATACACATTTGGAAAGTTAGTGGTAAAGTTACATCCATTAAATCACTTGAGATCTCGGGATGATAAATGCATATTTTCAATTATTAGTATCTGCTACACACTTTATGTGTCTAACTTGCCCCGCACACGCCACCGTTAATTACTGCTATTCGATAAATCGCGTGTTCATCCGACAATAGCGGAAAACAATCCGTTATCTAAATTCTTAAATGTCGGGTTTTGTAAGTATTTTAAAAACCGAAACATGTTATTAAGCATTAGTTAAGACAGTAATCCGAGGCGCTGTGTAATAATGCTCGATTCCGTCGCGTGACACAAGTTGCTTTTATCAGAACACTTTAAAATTGGTTCAGTAAACGTATATTTTCAATTATTTTAGAGATGAACCTACTGTTTCTTTTCTGTCACACCTGCCGAGGTTGCGCAGTGCTGTTTGGGTTGACTGCATGATTTGTTCCAGGAGAAACAGCACAATAAAACCGCTAGCATTACCGATAATTGTTGAGCGGAGATAGATCTAAATCAGGTTTCATTAGTCCCCTTGTTTTAATCTTTACGAAGCATGTATTACACTCAATGAATGGCATGGCTATTAACAAGTGGAGAAATAGACAAGCGGAATAAATAAATGGCTTTTAACGATAGGAGTCCACCGTCGGTAACTGATGGAAAATCTAAAAATTATGCTCAAGTAAATTGGAAAAGTGATCTGGTAATTGAAATAGATCCATACTCCATTTCATGTAAAACAACGGTAATTAAATCGGTTGGAGATAACAACGAGGATAGGTTTTGTTGGAAAGAATAGACTACATTAGAAGCGGCAATTCCTAATGGCGTTAAACTTGCAATCATACTTTACCCAAAGTGGTCATATTTACCGATACTAGAATGAACAGTTACGCCTCAAGAGGCCCGCCTCTTGTGTTTAAGTAGAAATAAATAAAAACATTCGAGCTTAGGGCTGTATAAAGATGTCCGCTCACCTTTAAAAATGCTCCAGAAAGTTTGCCTATCAGAGCTCCCACTTCTTCAGTGCAAGTACTATGATCATTGGCGTCAAGTGATTCTCTCTTGCCGGGGACAAAAGCCTTATATACCAGAACTCCAAATGCTCAGCGCTGTGTTTGCTTTCGAAACTGCTTCCTTATCAGACAAGCGAACATTTCATTTCCTTCTTATATCAGATTTTTGATAAAATGCAATATGAACAATACTTTTCGATGTTAAAGTAAAGAAAACCATATGCTACTGTAATGTAAAGTATTATTGGCTGATCAATCTAGGGAAACCTATCAATTGTCTACAAGTGGGACGCGTGCAACGCAACCTGTTAACTGAATAAAACTGATTGTAGGGAAAACACGGGCATAATGGGACCTCAGCATCACAACCAGATGCAATTCTGTCGCTAATTTAGCGCAAATTTCAAATTCTCTCCGATTATCAAGACAGAATTAATACTTGTGCATTTATAGAGCATTATTTGTGAGATAAAAGCGACAGACTGTCGGTCAATTAGCGAGAAAACTGCCTCCTTTCAGAGCTTTAACACAGATCAATACATAGATACGCATTATTTTCCATTTCCTCCCCGACCATCATAACCTCAGCTCAGATTTTGTTCTCTGCATCTAAGTGTTTTTACATATTTACATTGAATTGTTTGCTTTCCGAAAGAACGAAAGGCGATAGTATGTTGTTAATTGACCGGGAAAATATGCCCCTTTTACCTAATGACAAATCTTTCCTATCTGTGAGCAAAAATTCGATTGAAACCCGTTAAGAAAAAAATAGGCTCAAAGGAATTTGCATAAATAGAAATTAACATCGACCGCCCGCAAAGGAGTCATTTAACAGTATACATTTTCAAAAACAACAGTCTTTAGGGTGATACGAAATGCAACTGTTGTAAGCAGCTTTGTTATCCACACCTACTTGTGAGAAGAACGGTTAAGTGGTGCGTGGTCGGGGAACTAGTATAGATCAGCGGCGGACGTAAAAAGAAATATTTTAAGTGATCTTACGAAAAGACCATTTACCTCAATTGGTTGAAAAAAGATCAGAATGAGACTTTGATCGGGCAAAAATGAAAACTAGAAGTTACATAGGTCTTAGTATGGTCGTAGGATGTCTGATACATGTATGTCAAATTTGTTGAAGTGGTAACAGAGTAAATCAGGAAGAATATATACTAGAACGTCCCATACTAAGCACACAACGATGATTTACACAACTGAAATGATCGTATACATCGGTAATGGGTGTGTTTCCATTTAGTTAAAAGATGACCATAAGTGCGTTATATTTTAGTGCAACTGCTTTATTTTCACATATTTATTCACCCATTCACCGGTTCTACTGTCCACCTTTTCGTCTGATTGACCCCTTCATTCCTCCATTTTCTATTTTCCAATTACGTTCAAACAGGTAATATTACAGGCTATTTATTGTATTAGTAAATTTTAGAAACGCTGTAGAATTTCTGGATTATCAGAAAATATTCAAACTGTAAAACTGTCTAATATTATATGATTTATGTAGCCAAATATTCACAAGCAAAACGAAGCTCTGTTTTTGCATAAATTAGGTAAAGTCCACATGACTGAAAATTGATGACGAAAATATAATAATATGATACAAAGTTACAAAAATGGGGGATAATCATACATCCCCCATACTATATAGCTACCATACTATCATAGCGCAATGCCGGTGTCAAGTAACAACAAAACCGCCGTCTCAGTTCCAAAATCAAAAAGGATTTCTTTATTCAATTTCAATCAGACATTTATTACAGATTGCTAGTCAAAATAACATTTTTTCATGTGTACCTTTTTTGATCTTCAGCTGAGAAACTCTGGAAGATAACTCTCACACATACCTAATGAATGCCAACACATCTTTTACTTTTGACTTCATTTCAAGTACGTTTGAATAGAATACTTCCACAGTTACTCAGCTTTGAACCCAAATAAACCTTATCATAATAATATATAATTAATAAAGTAAGTTAATGAGTGCAATCAACGTTGAATAAAAAATATGTGAAACAACAAAAGCAAAAAGTTGGCACAAATGAAAAATAAAGCCCCATGATATTGTTTATATCAGCTACAGATATTCTGTAGCTGATATAAACAATATCAGCTACAGATATTCTGTCTAAAAATAAACATATTTTAGAGTCTCATCCGCTACGATTTTGCACTTATCTGGCACATGGAATTAATATTGAGCGAACAGCCGCACTCACATGAACACACGTGCGCACGGGAGCGCGCACACACATACACACACAAATTGAAAGCACACATACATACGCACACAAATTGAAAGCGCGCAATAAGCTTTAAACATTTAATTTACAAAAATTATCTTAAGATATTTCCTGGTAATTTCAACACCTTCATCAGAATTATTTAGGTGTGCCATCTCCAAAACCACTCACAAAATTACAATCTCGTGATAGAGATTTTTTAAAAATGTTGAATTTAACCTCAGTTAAAAAAAATTAATTAATTAAAATAGGAGTTTATAGATAGTGATTTTCTCAACGGTTTTGGTTGGGGTAAAGAAATAGGTGAAAAAGAGAAATGAGAGAGAATGTTTGTGCGATTTGTATATCTTTTTCAGAAAAAAAGTATTTTTGGCCTGAACACCAATAAGATGACTTGATCTTGTAACTTATCAGAATAGTTGCATCTCTGGTAATGGTCAAGCAGAAATGTGCAATTATAAAGAAAACTCTCAAAGCCGTTCGCGTTCAGTGGGCAGTATTGAATGCTCGATAACAATAAAAATATACTACTGATATCTTAAACATGTACCAGACAAAAGGATTGCGCAAAATACATCATAAATTTCCATAATGAATATCATGAAGAAAAATGAAACTCACATCTTTATTTGTCTATTATAGTCTGATCGTTTGAGGTATCCCTTTTATTCTCAAACTCTTGGAGTAGAGAATCGGAAATCCACGTTGTGTATTTTGCCATATCTTCTTATATAAGCGTGTCTATCATATAGTCATATATCTATATCGATATCTGTTTCTATATCTGTTTATCTATTTATTCGTTTATTTTTATATGATATGAATGAGGAAAAAATCAAATGAATGTTAGAAATAAGTTAGGTTGAGAAATGATTTCCTAAATAAAAAAATATATTCTCCGAAAACAGCATTTTATAAAGATATCGGATTTCACCTTTCAAATCCCCTTTAATATCCCAAATAAGTTTTTAAGGTAACAGCCTTAGTGAAAAGATTGAGATCGGAACTATTCATTATTCATTTCTTTATTATCCTAAATAAGTAATTCATCGAAACCTCGGGTTAGCATAAAGTTTAAAGTTTCTCTATCACAGTCAAAAAATCTTTTCTAGGAAATCTTATTTATTATGTAAAATTTTAACCATACTTTATAAAATTATATGGACCATCAACTTAAAATCTTTCTACACACAGATTGCTTATTTTTCTAGCAAACTTTTAAAAGGTTAAAACTTTTCAAACAGCCATATAATATGAACAAACCATATGCAAACTGTGTCAGTTGAGAACTATACCAGAATCCTCTCACCTGTAACAGCGTTTCGCTCGTCTTTTGTTTCTACACAGATATCTATTGGATTATTTTCTAACGGGGTAACTCGACAACAATTATCCCCACTGCAAATCATTATGCAACGGGAAAAGGCTTACTATTTTAATCAGTGTTAAATTTTGATACCGTTTACTTCAATTCAAGAGTACGCACTATTATTTATTATACCAGTATCTTGAAATAGACACAATAAATGAAAACCAGCTCATAGGAGAATGGATTTAAAAATGCAAAGGTTAATGTCTGTCTTCAAGGATTATATCAAAATATTTAGTAAAAAGAAAAATTTAGCAAAATACCAAAACCGAAGTTTTCTGATTTTTTATTATTGGTCATAAAAAATAGTTTATATGGGCTTTTCTCTATACACAAAATGCTGAACAAAAATCACATTTTAAACAGTCTCATTATTCCTAGCTTAAGCAATATTTGTGATTGAAATGACATTTTTCAAAATTAATATTAAAATCTAAATCTGTTTTCATTCAGATTGTTGGTATGTTGGAAACTCTTTATTTTGATTTGAAGGGTATTCAGAAAAATAAACAAATGGATGATATGTAAGCATTTCATTTTGTTATTTATAAAATTGATTGATTGATTAATAAAATTCTATTTTTTATCTAGCTATGTTTATTTATTGCTTTCTTGTTGACGTACAAGATATTTCGGGACACACCGTAAGTCGAGTTGCTGAAATACGGAATCCCCGGATGTTGACCGGACGCCGAGAACACATTCAAGAACAACGTCTTCCCTAACGCATTAATGTGTCCATTTTAAGTTTCTTCGACACTTTGCAGGGTCCAGGTAGATGGATAAAAAAGTCACCCGATGAGGACTCAGGATTATGACAGATGCATTACTAACACTATTGTTCACTAATTCTACGTTATTTGTTTATTATGGATTAAAGAATCCCGGGCGTAATCAATGTTCAAATTGAACTTACATGGAAATTGCCGCATGGATATACGGCTGATGTTTTTGGTTGCTTTATATGAAATGGGCAAAAAGAATATTGTACATATGCTTGACTATGTGTGTGTGTGTGGGTGTTTGTGCGTGTGTGCGCGCGCGCGTGCCTGTGCGCGTGTGTGTGACAGTAAGATATGAATTCGCTATGACCTTACTTTATCATTATTATTTCTGTGAAAGTATCTCTATATCGTCCTTTTGTGTCAGATATTCTACTCCTCAGGGAACATCAGGAGGGTGTGACGTCCCTATTTTAATCTATTCTTTATTGTTGATTCTCATTTGATGTAAATTGTGATCTTGTGAGCGTGATTAATCTGTGGAGCCAAACACACGTATCTAACAAAGGAAGTCAATAGTTCACTTGCTAAAACATTCTAATCGAAATGTTGTGATACAGTGGGTGAACAGAGATATTAAGTTGGGTAAATAGATTAAGGGGACAATAGAAAATTATTGAATATTTTATAAGTCAAAATAGTCTGGCGGAAGCTGTTTGTTACAGAAGATAAAAATAGGGTTTAGTTGGGAAAAGGAAGGGAAAACAATGGTAAATTAATGGATATTTTACGCAAATGAAAAGATCCAACTACAAGGATGAACAGAGCTGTTAATTGGTGGCAAACAGATAACAAAAGACAAGAAAATTCATAAATATCTAATTTGTCGAAAATGTGTATTTGAACGACCTTGCAGTGTAGTGCAAACAAAGGTATCGCCATTGTCAAATAGGTGGTAAAACAATAGAAAAGATTCGAACATATCTAATGTTTGTACATTCTAAAGGATGCTTGTGATGCTTTCAAATAGCAGAGTACACTGGTTAAATATTAAATCCACTCAAATATGAACAGGCTGCATTAATTCTGATTGTCCCCAACCGACTGGCTCGCACTTATAAAAAAAAAGCCTGCAAGTACCCCAGCTAACTAACTTTAATCATTATTGAATAAACCTCACACTTTAAAATCTTTTTATTTATTCATTTGTCTATTCATTGAGATATATTCAGAGAAATAACTAATAATATTATAAATGATAAGTTTGAATTAATCTATTTAACAATGTTTAACTACGAATTAAGAAAAGATGACATGTTGTGATAACCATACCCGGTTGTAGGTTTTTGACATTTTGGAAATACGTTATTACAGCATTACCTTTTTAAAATATCATAACACGTTTCTGAAGTATTTTTCCTAAATAATACAAATTTAAAAAACTTAGTCCCATATGAAATGGTAGTAACTTGTTCATTTTTGCCTTAATTTTAACTTTATTTGAATCTAGCCTTAAACGTGAATGCCTCGCGTTAATGTTGTAAATGGACTATAGGTGGCACTGCTACGGTATTTCGTACTCGGTTAGGCCCTACTTGTTTTATACTGTTGCCGGTGTTAGCATTTTTCTTTACAATAATTGCTAAGATCACCTCACTGTCAGAACTGAAATTAAATACATTAAATTCATTTTAACAAAAGAACAAAATACGTCCACATCCATATTCAAGATGCATCATCTTGAAAGAGGCCACTTTGCTTATTATCAAAATTGAAATTGATACACATAACAGAGGAAAAATACAATAAAACACGCCTCCATAACAGAGAACGCAAAGAAATATTTTGGACAGAAATTTGGTTTTATGACAAATACAAGAGTTTCGTTAGTTTTTACAGTTTAGTGTTGTTCTTATTATATTGAAGACCTTGCCGTCAATATTGAACTATTATTTTAATTATCGAATATATTTATCTATCCACTTGCTAGTCAGGCATTTCGGAATTACCAGATCCAAAGTCTATTCACTTTTTACTAATCAATTTCCAGGTATTGATTCTTATCTGAATTAAATCTATAGAAATTCACCATATGGAATTTCTCGGTTTCTGACAAATACAATTTAGATTACAATTAATTTTTTTCAGATCTCGTGTTGAAAAATAATGTTAATTTTATGTGGATGATAGTTTTGTCCCACATTCATAAAACCAAACGTTTTTACCAATCATGAAAATTTTAGAGATATAAACTGAAAGAAAAAAACAAAAACAAAAAATACAATGGATAAGATAAAACCACAGAAACTTAGCGTTATCAATCTAAAAAATATTCTATTGTTGGGTTAGATGGGAACATCGGAATATTACGAGAGGATAACGTTGAGGTAGTTTCTATTTCTCTGAGTCCGTATCCTGTCGTCACATTACCCCCTTCCTAATGACCGCCGTTTATTTGTAGAAGTACTTGCCAACTAAAACAGTCTACAGAGCACCAATGACCAGGTCGCCCATGGCCCGCCCCTGCCATTCACAATAAGTATAAACACATACAGATTAGGGTCGCACGAGCATACACAGATTATTTCTCATTGGTTTAAAGAATTCAGTTAAACTTGGACTTTCTAGCGATTAATTCGGTGTCGCCAATGCCACTGTTGTGCTTATGTTTATTTATGTTTTATCGTCTACTTGCTAATTCTGCGCTTTCATACCTCTTCTCCTTTCTACTTTTCCCACGTGCGCAACACGTCTATCTTTAAGTCTTTTATCGTAAATTAGTTGTTACTAATTTCGGACATGTACCTGATATGGAAATTCCTTGTTTATAACTCTGACCTCTAATTTTAAAATCTTTATCGAAATCTAAAACGTATAAACATTTCCTGCTTATAATCTCTGTTTAATATGAAAAACAATTTACTCGTGATCTACCGGTCACATTGTCTACTTGTTGTAATCTCGGGATAACGTAACCTTCCTCACACAAGAGGGTTTCGAGAGATAGAAAGATAAGTAATAAATAAACCATTATCATATCAAATTAACTCATATATCAATTTCGTCAGCTTTGCAGCTGAGGCCTAGCTTGAGAGGGATCAAATGACGGAAATGAAAAAGTGTGTGACGTTCTCCATGCAGAAATCTAGCAAATAAATTCACTCTAGTGGAATTTTCTCCGAACGATTTTAAGGGCGTATCAAACCACATAATAGGCTCATTAGTGAATCTGAATTTCTGTCAATACAATGCGCACCTTAACCAAAAATATTATGCTAATTCAACGAAAGTAAAAAACGCCGACAGGTGGTCGCATTAATTGCGTAAGAGACATAGCTATTTCTATTTGTTTTCCATTTCCGTTGTGACGATGATATGAAGAATTCTTCTTTTTGTCAAGGTAAGAGATCAGCGAGCGCCTGTGGCCCCTAAAGAGCCGTGTAAAGGGAGCTCTGTGGTAGGGTAAGTGTTGAGGTCCTCCTCTCACCAGGTGTCCTTTCAGCCTCACGTCACCTTCTATCGGTTTCCGTTGATTTTAATGGCTGGATATATTACTCAACTTGGCGTCCCGGGGTACCGTTGACACGCCCGATCAACTGCGAGAAAAATGCTGATTGAGGCGTGATCATGGCTGAAAATTATGTCTGAGAAATTACATACATGTATTGTGTTAAAACTTGGAACAGCATATGGCTTTATTTGGTTTTCTTTAGTGTTGATAATACAAGGGACATGAAAATATAAATTTCTTTGACTAAAATGGTTACGTGGTGTCTCCGGGTGGCCAATCGTGTATGTCTTGTCACAGCGGGCACTCAGTTTTCTATTTCACCTTGCCCAAACTGATGTGTTAGAATTCCTGTCCTCTCTCCGGGGCTCTATTCTTTCTGTGCACTTAGAAGAACCTTCCTCCATTGAAAACACCCCATCAACAAGGCTTACTGGGGGGAGTATCAAATATGTGACACTAAACCTCTTTAGCATTGAAACGTTTTGAGTTGCCATGTCACAGACTGGGAGAGAATAGGGGACTTCTCTGCTTAGACAACTGCGTACAATACCGCTTAAGCTGAGTGACAGCGAAGCCTCTTAAGACCCGGTGATTGACAGATCGGCAGGTAACGTTTGGAATCCTACTCAACGTGTGCGTAAGTTGAAAGAAAATGTAGCATGTAATGTATTTTATATTAATGGGCATAGGGCAAAAAGGAAAAAATAATTCCTGTTAAATACCTATATCATATTAAAGGGTCTGAAAAGATTGTTTTCTTTAGTGATAATACTTGATAATAAATGTACACATGACAGATAACGATATTTATATACTGATTCTCTTTCCGGATTGCTACGTAAAACGTGCGGACGGCCAAGTTAATGTATTCTAGAGATAATGTAATCTAACGGTAAATAGCAGGTAATGAAAACTCTTAGCGCATATATTGGGCAGATGTTTCCCTTCCTTATGACATACTTTGCTGACCCATTTTTTTTTTTTTTTTTCGATTGGAAATTTGCACAACGATGCGTTTCGGCCAGCTCATCATTATCACCCGTGCAGGGTAAACTTCAATATTACGTATGAATTCTACCGTCTAACTACACCTCTCGGGTTTATTGCGCAAATAAAGAAAAGGGGTAAGCAACGGGGAGGAGGACGCAGTAGGGGTTCCGCTTGAGAACTTCACCCTCCAAACCGATTAGCACACCTGTGCCTTTGTCACTGGATTTATCCACTTTGTTCAAACGCTTTTTCACATCCACGGATTCTTGCCAAATTAAGTCCCCCTTTTTCCAATTTGTACACTGTGGCAAACAATACCTCAACAATTCTATTTGGTGCTGACACATTGGCAGGGATGCCGTTCTCTGAGTTGATAGTAAGTGCGCTGTTGGGACAGACCGCTGTATACTTTGGACTTACGGTAGTTTACCTGTCCAATTACGCATGCGCCAGCTGAAAGTGGGCTGTAATTTGCCAGAACATCAGAGTATACAATAGTGAACATGGCATAAGAGCCCTCACTTGGCAGTCACGATAAGAAGTGGAGAGACTTTTAACAAAACACAACGCGACAGTTAGGGCTGTTGTGAAGACCTCTTTGAGGTGAAGTTTTTCCGGATGATGTCCTTAAGCCCAAAACATACGCCCTTCTCCGTGACTGATATCCTGAACCCCTTAGAAGAGAGCTACAAGAAAGTTGGATTTGACGCCTCTATTCCGCCGTTGGGGCACCCCTACAGATCACAGCACCAAGGCAATATGAATACCATGGGAGGAATGACGGTCCCAGTGAGCAGCATGTCGGCCTACAACTATGTCCCTCCGCTGAGCCACCCTCCCTACCCGACACAGTATTGCAACGGAGGCGATCTCTCTCACTACGGGGACGTTCGGGGTTCCTCCACCAACTGGTACAGCTCTTCGTGTAATCCGGCCTCTGATCCACGGTTCGCATGTGAGTAGTCTGATCTTCAAAATATTCTTTAAATCTGTGAGGTCTGATTTCGTTAACGATATTTATGTCGTTTTATCTACTTGAAATGTCCCGAGAAGAGTCACTCTTCTCTCGCTGCGACGCACTCTTCTTGGCAATTATTTTCCCGTTGATGACACAGTTGGATAAGTGAAGTAGGCTCTAGCCAAGGAAACGATTGCTGTTACTTAAGACATAAAATAATTCACCACTCCTCTGCTTCACTCCAAATGTACGTAGTTTTCAATAACTGGCAATTCAACATCTCAAAAGACGACTACAATTGCCTCTCATCCACACGAACCGTGGAAATGAAGGACTTTCAATCGCTGATAGCTTTTTTTCATTAGATACTGATTTTTCTTGACTTGTTAATTTTTTTCAGTCCAGGCGGTCTTAAACACAGAGATTATTATACAGCTATTACTCTTGATAAAGAGGTGTCGGCACCGAGATATAAAACGCGTCTTGAGTTTAGTGACAATAAATGCAAAAGAAACACTGTTGAATATTGCAGCGCGCTGAAGAGGCCACTAAAATTTTCGAGTGTCTTAATAACAGGCTCTCTCTTAAATAGATTAGAAACTATCATGCTGGAAGTGTATTTAATGATAAACCTTGTCCTGCTCAAGAACATATTTATTCACTTCGCGACAAGCCGGCGAAGAATTCGATTCTGACTTTACTGGGACTAATTTGCGGCAACCGTCTTCCGTGTTTCGTTCTCAAACACATTATTAATTCAACATTTCCTCAACGAAGGTAATAAACTCGACTGGATTTCACATCACCTTGTTTTGTTGTCCAAAGATGTGGAAAAGTGGAGCAATGAAAATCCCCAGTTAGAATAGAATTATAAAGTTTCAGGTGACTTAGTGTATGTTCTATCTTTTATCAAGTGATATGCAAGGCTTATCGCGCCCCGGGACACACGCCAAAGAGATGAGTTCATTGTCCATTGTACATTTTACCTGTCAAATCATTACACTTTTTTCCTCTAATTATTTTTTGAAATATGACGTGTATAATCTTTACTAGTTGACGCACTAAATTTTATTAATAATGCTGATAGGTTTTACTCAGATTCTAATTAATTTTACATTTATTCTACAACCAAAACATGTGCTTCCATTCTGAGGTCCATTTATAAACATATAGATTTATATATGACCTTCAATATTCTAAATTAATGCGTTTTTTTTTCGGTCTTAGTCTTACAGTCATTTTCGGCGGTTTAATTAATATCATTATAAAACGCACCAATACATTTGAATGTTAAATTCTTTCATTTCATTAAACATTTTTAATAAACTTAATTTTCATTGTAAGAATGAAAATTGTTAAGATTAATGAAAATTGAATTTAAGCTCTGTTTTTCTTGTCAATTTTTTTTTTGTAACATACAGAAGGGTATATATTACTTTTTTTATTTTGATTCACTAAATTTATTCCTATTACATTTGTATTGAACTCAAAGAAACGTGAATATAAAATTTATTCGGTTCATCGCCATGTTATATAGTGCCGCCTGACCTTAGATCTGATTCCATGTCGTCTATATACTGGTCTTCCTTTACGCGTAACAGATTTCAATTCATGTCTTGTTGACACAGCGAGAAATACAAGCATATACCTTATCTAGTTTATTGTCTATTCCTATAAGACGCGCGGCCAAATTCCGCGTTTTTATCTGCTGATTTGAAATAAATTTTGACCAATCTATTAAGTAAATTTAATTGCATTCATTTAGTCTTGTGATGATTTGATAATTTCTGTCACAAATAAATTCATTTATGATGGATCTATTGTGCCAGATTTTTAATTAAATTTGAAAGACTCAATATTTCTATTAATATTATGATAAACTTCTGACCGCATGAAACGGCCGTTATTAATTGTCGAGATATACGGATAATAGAACCAGCATTACAGAATGCTAAACATTTTTAATTTACACACATCATACACATATTCAAATCTGTATATTTTAAACTCCAATTTTTTCATCACTCATCTTTTTTCTATCTTGCTCTTTTCTTTCTTTCTTTAATCTGATATTTATGTATTTATTTGTCTATTTATTTTACCTGTTTATAACAATTTGACGCACACTTCAATAAATAGGTTAAGAAATTTATCATTTTCTACAAAATAAAATACATGATTTATTAACATTAACAGTCTGCAGAGTAAAACAAAAATGTTTTTTCGCAATCACATTTTTTCATACGTTTGCTTAGTAAGTAATGTTTGTTGGATTTTCAATATCTAATATATTCCCATTATTTCAGATTCTCGGTTGAACTCATGCAGTCAAATGTCGGCCATTTCCAACCCTTTTGGTATGCTCAATGGCTTGAACGGTGGCAGCGCCATGCAGTATCCCATCAGTCGAAGAAAAAGAAGGATTTTATTCTCCCAAGCGCAGGTATACGAGTTAGAAAGGAGATTTAAACAGCAGAAATATCTATCAGCTCCTGAGCGCGAACATTTAGCCAGTATGATAGGCCTAACTCCAACTCAGGTGAAAATTTGGTTCCAAAATCATCGTTACAAAACCAAACGTGCGCAAAAAGACAAAGAAAAGATGGACCAGCAGCAATCCAACCAGCAGATGTCCCCCAGGCGCGTGGCTGTACCAGTATTAGTTCGCGACGGAAAACCGTGTTCTGGTTCTTCGAATTCTGAGAACGGGAACGCCGTCCACGCCACCGGCAACAGCGGCCAGACGACACCGGCGCAACCAGAAGGCGCGCAAACCAACAACCATAGACCTAATAGCAGTTCCACAAACTCTGCCAATTCTTCTGATGCTTTACATTCATTGAACTCAAGTTTGAATTTCACAGGCGGACACTCGGGGGGCGGCGTATCGGGATACAACGGAGCCAGACTCTCATGGTAAATTTTCATTACGACATTTATGATGTTTTCAAGTCTATTAAAATAGAAGGAATACATACTCAGAAAAAAAGCCTCCAAGAAAACCTGCAGTCTGCGTTGAAAATATCTTTTGACTTTTTTAATTTTCGTTCCTGTTTATCACTTTTAAGGTGATAAATACTGAATCTTTGGAACAACAGAAATAGAATAAGATATCGCGCTTGAACTGCTTTGAAATGATATTTTTCACTGTTGTTTATAAAAAAAAGCAAACCTAACAATTTGCTGTTCAACGACAAAGACTTATTTCTGTGACAGAAAAAAAAATGATACGGACAACATTGTACTTCAACATTCGATATATGTCATATCTACTAATTCCAATTAAGTGGCAGGTCCAGTCTTTTTTTANATGTACATTTTACCTGTCAAATCATTACACTTTTTTCCTCTAATTATTTTTTGAAATATGACGTGTATAATATTTAGTAGAAGACGCACTAAATTTTATTAATATTACTGATAGGTTATACTCAGATTTTAATTAATTTTACATTTATTCTACAACCAAAACATGTGCTTCCATTCTGAGGTCCATTTATAAACATAAATATTTATATATGACCTTAAAATTCTTATTTAATGTGTTTTTTTTTTCTGCCTTAGTCTTACACTCATCTTCGGCGGTTTAATAAATATCATTATAAAACGCACCGATACATTTGAATGCTAAATTCTTTAATTTCATTAAACATTTTTAATTAAACTTGTTTTTCAGTGTAAGAATGAAAAATGATAAGATTAATGAAAAATGAATTTAAGCTCTGTTTTTCTTGTCAACTTTTATTTGTAACATATCGAAGGGTATATATTACTTTTTTTATTTTGATTCACTAAATTTATTCCTATTACATTTGTATTGAACTCAAAGAAACGTGAATATAAAATTTATTCGGGTCATCGTCATGTTAGATAGTGCCGCCTGACCTTAGATCTGATTCCATGTCGTCTATATACTGGTCTTCCTTTACGCGTAACAGATTTCAATTCATGTCTTGTTGACACAGCGAGAAATACAAGCATATACCTTATCTAGTTTATTGTCTATTCCTATAAGACGCGCGGCCAAATTCCGCGTTTTTATCTGCTGACTTGAAATAAAATTTGACCAATCTATTAAGTAAATTTAATTGCATTCATTTAGTCTTGTGATGACTTGATAATTTTCTGTCACAAATAAATTCATTTATGATGGATCTATTGTGCCAGATTTTTAATTAAATTTGAAAGACTCAATATTTCTGTTAATATTATGATAAACTTCTGACCGCATGAAACGGCCGTTATTAATTGTCGAGATATACGGATAATAGAACCAGCATTACAGAATGCTAAACATTTTAAATATATACACATCATACATATATTCAAATCTGTATATTTTAAACTCCAATTTTTTCATCACTCATTTTTTTCTATCTTTCTCTTTTCTTTCTTTATCTAATCTGATATTTATGTATTTATTTGTCTATTTTTTTTACCTATTTATAACAATTTGACGCACACTTCAATAAATAGGTTAAGAAATTCATCATTTCCTACAAAATAAAATACATGATTTATTAACATTAACAGTCCGCAGAGTAAAACAAAAATGTTTTTTCGCAATCACATTTTTTCATACGTTTGCTTAGTAAGTAATGTTTGTTGGATTTTCAATATCTGATATATTCCCATTATTTCAGATTCTCGGTTGAACTCATGCAGTCAAATGTCGGCCATTTCCAACCCTTTTGGTATGCTCAATGGCTTGAACGGTGGCAGCGCCATGCAGTATCCCATCAGTCGAAGAAAAAGAAGGATTTTATTCTCCCAAGCGCAGGTATACGAGTTAGAAAGGAGATTTAAACAGCAGAAATATCTATCAGCTCCTGAGCGCGAACATTTAGCCAGTATGATAGGCCTAACTCCAACTCAGGTGAAAATTTGGTTCCAAAATCATCGTTACAAAACCAAACGTGCGCAAAAAGACAAAGAAAAGATGGACCAGCAGCAATCCAACCAGCAGATGTCCCCCAGGCGCGTGGCTGTACCAGTATTAGTTCGCGACGGAAAACCGTGTTCTGGTTCTTCGAATTCTGAGAACGGGAACGCCGTCCACGCCACCGGCAACAGCGGCCAGACGACACCGGCGCAACCAGAAGGCGCGCAAACCAACAACCATAGACCTAATAGCAGTTCTACAAACTCTGCCAATTCTTCTGATGCTTTACATTCATTGAACTCAAGTTTGAATTTCACAGGCGGACACTCGGGGGGCGGCGTATCGGGATACAACGGAGCCAGACTCTCATGGTAAATTTTCATTACGACATTTATGATGTTTTCAAGTCTATTAAAATAGAAGGAATACATACTCAGAAAAAAGTCTCCAAGAAAACGTGCAGTCTGCGTTGAAAATGTCTTTTGACTTTTTATTTTCGTTCCTGTTTATCACGTTTCAAGGTGATAAATACTGAATCTTTGGAACAACAGAAATAGAATAAGATATCGCGCTTGAACTGCTTTGAAATGATATTTTTCACTGTTGTTTATAAAAAAAAGCAAACCTAACAATTTGCTGTTCACCGACAAAGACTTATTTCTGTGACAGAAAAAAAATGATACGGACAACATTGTACTTCAACATTCGATATATGTCATATCTACTAATACCAATTAAGTGGCAGGTCCAGTCTTTTTTTTTAAACCTTTTTAATCCAAGTGTTTGGTTCATTATGTGTGTCGATAAATGATAAATGGGCCTCGAAGCGCCTGCGGGGCTGGTAATAAATGCGCCGCGAAATTTAGGATATCGTAAAAGTGCTGTCGTAAAGATTATGCTTTTATTGTTTGTGGACAAATAATTCCCGTGTCTGTTAATGTTATGTATTGGTATCGAAAAGTGCAATATTGAGTTGTTAGATCCAGTACCAGTACCAGTAGCCACTGTAGTTACCGTATGCTGGATAGTTTTCAGCCTCCAATGAGCATAGTTTTTGCTTCATTGGCGTTGTATTGCGTTCTTATATTATACAATTTTATCATTGTAAAATTATGTTTTGTTAAATTTCAATATCTTTATATTTAATTCAGTGGAAACATATAACAATAGGAGAAGTAATGGAAGAGCAAGTGTCATGACTTGGATATTTTCTACTATTGTTGTAAACTCAAAATGCAAATGCCTGTGTACATGTGCGGCAGCTTATAGTTGAAACTGATATAGTGTAAATAGCCCAGTCTTTTGTAAGGCACTGAAATAATTATTATTTATGAACTCTTGCATTGATACATGACCAACTGTTTATCATGAAACAAATGAGATTCCGTGGACCACTATACGAACCTTGTTTGTAATAAAGCGTTTTTATGTCGTCCTATTATCTGAAGACTTGTCTCTATGGATTACTTTGTATACAAAGCAATGAACTGGGTCTTATCACATTGTCCATGTAATCCAGCCATGATCGCGCGATAGCTGATTACCATGAATTTCAATCGAGCTTTAAAAGAGCCTTGCGCCAGAGTCGATAATCACTGTGAAACCTGTTCAGAAATGGATAGAAAACTTGCTGCTTAAATTTCTTTTGGCTGTATTTTAATTGGCATGACTGAACGATTTTGTAGAATTTACCAGATTTATTTGTGTTTTCGTCATCGTTTTAATGGCGTAAATGTCAACGTCGAGGATATATTCTTATTTCACGAAATCGATGATTTTAATATGAATTTTCAAGGGAAAGTAGCTATAAAGGGGTTAGAAACGAAAAACAATTTATCTGAAAAGCTCAATTATGAGAATTTTTTCCAGGTACATGACGACAACAGTTTCTTTTTCACTATTACCAATAGGCCTCCATAAGTTGAATCGATGATCTGCCGCAGGTGTTGTTTATTTTTAATGTTCACCTCATTCGCTCTCCTGAACTTTGCTTACATCTCTCTGTATTGAGCTTAAATAAAGACTTTTTGTCTTACATTTTTTTAAATATAAAATTGAAATGATTATTTAAATTATTTAAAGAAAATATTTTTCTTGAAGGGTTATAAATGAATGAAAAAAATTGACTGAATGAAAAAAAAAACGTAAAGATTAAAGTTATGAAGGAACAAACAGGGACGGTTGATTGACGAAATGAAAGCTAAGAAAACCGTAGGCCTACAACATAAAATACGAATTATTTTTGTCACAAATGCTACCCTTCATAGCAAGCCGAATGGCATAACATGAATGACATAAAATCAGTTGTTTCTAGAAATTTATGAAATTCATATTTTCTTCGTTTATCTTAAGGATTCTGCAAAACTAGCTTTATGTATGTTGCCACTGATATTATACAGGTTACGAGTATCAATTTGCCAGCAGGCACAACGTGCAGAAATGCTAATGTTAGTCTGGTCTAGAGGAAAAATCGAAACGATGTCTGTGCGCGTGGGTGTGAAATATTAACTAAAGGTACTGCGTATCGTCCCAGCTGACGAGCTCTTCTTGAAGTACGGGACTCTACTCATGTGATAAGTGTTCAAACTGGGTTGGACGGGTTAACAAAATAATAAACCAAGTCCGATGCTTTGTGTCCTAGCCGAAAGTTGCTTTGTTTCAATTTTAATTAATAAACTTCTCAATTTTTGATTACAAACGTGTGATACACAAAGGTTTGATAATCATTTAATTGGCCCCTTAAATGAATGATAAGTTTGGGTGACTATTGTCTTCTGATAAGAAGTTCGTAAAGAGGGGGATAAGTAGGCAGTGTGTTGTCAATCTTCAGATAACGAGGGTTCGGTATTTATGATTCATTACATCTTCTCCATATCTCTATAAGGCCTAATTTTATATCGTTTATAATTACATTACTCTATCAGAAGCCTTTATCGCCTCAGTGAACCGTTCTGACATCCCTTCATTACACCAAATCTGTTTTTTTTTCATAAATTGATATCATTTATCTTAATATATGTTTTAACAATTATAAAAGGATGGTATCTGTTTAGTAACAATGGATTTAATTTTCATTCTATCATATTTTATTTATTTATTTAATTTTGTGGAGTCACTTAATATGCCCTAGAGATAAAAAAGGAATTTGCCTTCATCATAATATATTTCGCTTTTTTGTTGCTATTTTGACAGAGATACAGTCAATTCTTTTCAATCTCAAGTTGAAGATCTGACAAGGCAAATTTAATTAATATATCAATTAAGCCTTTTATCTGCCAGCACCTGCCAAGGTTCAACTACTAAAAATCGAAGCCACATATTAATTTTCTCTAATCAGAATTTCTAATAAAGTATTATCTCAGAAATATCATATTCTCTGGGTACAATAGGAATAAATGGTTGTGATTAGAGTTGGCTCCACTCCATCCATACTGCACATGACGAGGTGATTGAAAAAGGCTTACCAAAAAGATGAAAAATGAACTGTTTTATTGTCGAAAGAATCAAGAGTGTAGGATTATGCAAATAGGGCTCGCGTGATTATGAAATACAAAATTTTCTTCTACTGCTTTACAGCCTATGTGGTTGTATATCACACGTCGTTTCTAAAGGCAGCATTCAAATACTACATATGCTTTATTATATCTGAGATGTGCAAAAAATAAGACTGATTAATGCAGCATACGCCCTCGTCAAATGCATTAAAGATTAATGATTAATATTAAATGGACCGAAAAACGGCGCTAGTGATATGACTGCTTTGTTTCGGAAGTTCTTTAATAAGAATATTATTTTATAAAACCAATGTATATAGATAGATTGTCTTCATCTTTTTTCTTTGTAGAGTATTTCATATACTGTAGCTTCATATTGTTAATTTCGTTTTACTCTAACTCCTTGCGTTTTTAAACATTTATTAATTAATGTTGAAATTGGGGAAACATGGTTTTAAAAAAACTACCATTATTTTGATATTGTCTCCCCTCTGCCTTGACGTCTTTCAATCTACACTTGACCGCGTGTGCGTTATGGGTAATGAGTCTGTTGACAGTTCCGATATGGTGCTAATTGATTTTCAACTCTAAACACTTGTGGCTCAGCACAAGCGTATTGCTGCAACCCTCTCCATATACAAGTCTATTGGGCTTTAGAATCCATCGATAAAATTTCTCCCATGTATGCACCTTAATTGGTTTTTAATGTAAGGTCTAGTGTTTAACGTGTAACCTGTATATTTGTTTTTCTTTTGTGCGGTCGCAATGTTTGGTGGTTGGTAGAGATAGGGAAGACACTATGTCTCGCCAAAGTTTGGAAGTTTGGGTGATAAATCGCTGATTAAAACTCACGCCGAAGCTAAATGCTATCTGTCCACCGAGGCCGCCTAGCGTGTGATCAACTGATTGTTGTGCAATTCGTGCGAGAATTATCAACCCTCCGCCATGCTTTCGATAACTTCTTTCTCCATTGACTGATTGAGATGTGGATATCATTAGTCAAAGGTGCGTAAACTCGTCTAGTACTCGTCAAACTCTCAAGCTCACGACACGCACGAATTGTTGCGTTTTCATCAAAAGCCCCATGCACTTTATCGTGTATTTTACCCATAAAATGATAGCACGAAAATATCTTTTGTGATCTTAAGTGGTTGGTTTTCCTTTAAATCTTATTAAATAGTTTTAAGGAAGTAGCACCTTGCGAATGATACATACTCAAGAAGACGAACGTGTTGAGGAACACTTCTCCCTTACTACTACTACTACTACAACGAGATCGTATACACTCACTTTTTCTAGCGTACGCCACCCGCTTGTGAATACGGTGATCAGTGAATACGGTAATCAGCATCTGAAGGTGACTTCTTTGACTTTGTGCTATTTGCTGTCGTTAAATTCTAGGATATATATATATATATATATATATATATATATATATATATATATATATATATATATATATATATATATATAATGCTTTGACGAAATGTGCCATTTCTACTTAAGATAATTTTTCTATCGATTTTTATTAATGATTTTACGAGTTTGTAGAAACAATACACTTTCTTATAACATGCTGGTGATTACTTTTTAGATTAATCCTAGTTCTAAAACATAGCAAGTTCAATTTGCAAATTGCAAGTCAAATGTATCCATTGGTCTTTATCCTGTATCAGCTTAAGCACATATTTTCAGAAAATAGAACGTGATAAAAAGTACAGAACTTTATTTACCTAGAAAATTGCCCTTAAAATGATTTTTTTGTTTTTTTTTCTACCTTTATATATATCTATATTTATTTATTTATTTTGTTGTCGACTTTGTAAAATGAACTTATTGTGTTTGATATGTTTGTATAGGTGCCATGCTTTCAGTTTGCAC